GCGCTCGGGCAGCCCCGGCCCTAGGGCACACACCGGCGCCGGGTGCAAGGGCATCCAAGTCCCCTGGCGTGCCACCGGACGCGCGGCCCCACCTCCCGGGCGCCCGGCGCGTGAGTGGCCCCACCTCCCGGGCGCCTGGGAGCCTCTAAAGGTTGGGGACCACTGGTTTAGAGTCAAAGCATCCCCTGGACAGATTTAGCTGGGAGGACTCTGGAGGAGTCTCAGGAGGAGACTGACATGGCTGTTTCCTAGCATAGTCTCTGAGGTAGGGCAGGCAGCCACCCCAGCTACTTTTCTGAGGGCAAATCGCCCTGGTGCTCAGTGAGGCAGGGTGGTTTATGCCAATGTTCCCGTGGACAAACCAAAAGCCATGTTGCAATTTCCAATGAAGACAGACAAGGCCATGGGAGCCCCACAAGCCACCCAACTTCTCCTAGATCTTCACTTGGCTTTCACAAGAGAACTTTCCCCCCTCTCCTTGGCATGAACCACATCCAGATGCCACCTCAAGGGAGGTGCTGTGTATGTGGCTGAAGGCAGAACTGGCGCCATAAGAAGGAAAAGACCAAACAGACCTTCTGGTAAGGAACGTCCATCGTGGAACGTGATGGGCTTGCTGAGCTCTCGGGACACTAAAACTACTGGAGGGTACAGGCGGAGGGTCTCCTTGATGCACATGGTGCTGTAAGTCATTTTACCGAGGTCACTCCTGAAAGAAATGAAAGGTGGAGGCTATGAATGAGGAACAGCCTGTACCACTACCAAGACACGAGCTGGCAGCATTCAACACCTGTAAGTGCAACAGACTCACCACACGCCTGTTGCTGTTGAGACAGGAAACCGATTTTGTGGCTCAAGCATACAGGTGACTTGGGCTCTATTCCCACCTCTGCCACAGACTTCCTGCAGCACACTGAGCAACTCTTGATCTTCTGGTGCTTCGGTTTCCCCTGCTGTAAACTTTTGGGAGCAGGGACTGACTTTTGGTTCCATATTTTTACAGCGCCTAGCGCAATGGAATGCTGGGCCATGAAATAACTCTCTGCTTGGTAAGGCTTAATATATTGGTCTAGACCCGTGGTCACCAACCAGTAGATCGCGAGCTACCGGTAGATCTCAGGGGCTCTAAGAGTAGCTCTTGAGCCCTCTCTGAACTGCGCATCTGCACAGTATGTTTACATTAGATTTCCTCATGTAATGTAGGCGGGGCTTCAAGGAAGGGGTGGGGCAGTAGATCTTTGCCTGTTCTGAGACTTAAAAAGTGATCTTGGGTGTAAACAGGTTGGAGTCCAATGGTCTAGCCAGTATTTGGTCCTGCCATGAGAGCAGGGGACTGGACTTGATGACCTCTCGAGGTCCCTTCCAGTCCTAGTATTCTATGATTCTATTATTAGTTACAAGGTACTTTGGCATCCTTGCATGCAGTCGTTTCTAGAAAGGCAAAACTCTTAACATTTGGGAAACAATTTAGCAACGAAATCGAGCAGATCTGTCTTATTCCTAAAGTTTCACACTCCACAGGCTGAATGCAGGGTTAGTGGAGCTGAGGGGAAATCACTCAACCTCAATCATTTACAGTTCCTTTCCCAATCAAACGCCTGCATTCTATTAACTGAGAGACAGAAGCCAAAGATCCGGAACTGAACAGACATTAGCAGAAGGGAACACTGGAGCTGGCTTTGGATCAGTTCTCTGTAGTATGCCCGTGATAAACGGAGATCTTTCAGTGCCGAGATTGGAAATAAGACCCACTTTTAATTCCTCAAACTAAGAAAACCATTCAAAGCCAAATGACACCAGTGAGGTGACATCTCACCACTGCACGGTATCTCTGTCTCCCACAATCTCCTGGATCTCTTCTCTGCATTTCTGCTGGTGCTCTGGGTGCAGGGCCATGCAGTACAAGAGCCAGGAGATCCCACTGGACATGGTACCATGCCCCGCAAAGGTACATGTGTCCATCTCGGCACGTAGGTCTTCATCAGATAGTCCAGCGCCATTTTCATCCTAGCAAAGCAGCGAGGTAAATAATCCCCAAACAAGAGTTAGTTTCAGGAGGACTCTTTTGGAGTGAAAAAATACACCCGGATCACTGGTGAAGATCCCAACATGTTTTGCCTTGTTTGCATGAGAAATTGGGTCACTCCACGGAAAGCAATGCAATTGCCAGGTGTGTACCTGGTACAGGTGAAATCTGAGTCAGGTCGCTTGGGTCCAAAGGCAGGCGTTCCCTTTCTAGAATGAGCAAGGCAGCAGAGATGGGCTACAATAGAAGTTATTCATCAACAGGGTGTCAAGTGCCAACCTTCAGTACTGATAAACTCAATAGGAGCCCACAGAGCAAAGCAGTTGCGAAAAAGGCTAAAACCGTTCTGGGGTGCATTAGCAGGAGTGTTGTATGTGAGACCTGGGAGGTAATTGATCTACTGTGCTCAGCTGTGGTCCCAGGCAGGAGTCTGTGTCCAGTTCTGTTCACCACACTTTAAGAAATCTGTGGACATGTAGGAGAGAGAGAGAGAGTCCAGATAGAAAATTCCTGGTTAGGGATTAGGAGGGGTGTTTGTGTAGATATGGTCCTGAGTAGTATCAGGGATCTTCATGAGCAGTTGTTTTAGGTTTTTTGTGATAGTCTTCAGTTGGATCAAAGGTCATAATACCCATCTACATATTTTGTTAGTCTTTAAGGAGCTGCAAGACTTTTTTAAAAAGTTTTTCCAGTTACAGACTAACTTGGCTACCCCTCTGAAGCTTTAGAAAAAGTAGTTACATGGAATGCTTATTCTGCACACAAAACATATAAATCAGCGCTAAAACCCTCTGATGAATCAAGTGCAGATTTCCCTTAATTGGCTGATTTGATCAGCTCACAAGCATTCTTCAAAACTTGAATGTCTATTAATGAAAATCACGTATAAGACAGGTGACAAATAAAATTCTTTGCTTTATGCCAGAGTGCGCAGCTACGTGATAGTATTATTTCAAATGATCGACTCAACTACAAGAGTTCTTATTTTTCCTCAAAGTAAAAAATTGTGTATTTGCATGGAAAGGTTATCAAAGGAATTTGTGTAAAGCTTATGCACATGCTGGATGGGTTTAATGAATTTCTTGCAGTTTTAAATTAAAAAAAAAATCAAGCAGATTAGAAAACAAAGGACATTTAAGGCCTGTTCTGAAACTCCTTGAAGTTAATGAGAATCTTTCCATTAACTTCACTGGACTTAGGATCTTTTCTTAAAGCTGTTATTTTAAATAAATGGTTGTAAAGTAAATTATTGAACTAAAAAGAGTGATGCATTATGGTATTTACTTCATCGTATCTCCTTTAACAAAGACATTCAAAATATTCAGAGAAATATATTTTCTCTATCTTTTTGTATATATGAAAACAAGAACTGATAAAGGTCCTTGTAGGGCAAGAACTTTCATGGCCCTCTTTCTTTAAAATAGATATTGAGTAACATTTCTATTCATTATGTTGCATTCTCTGATCACTAACTCCATGTTCTTAGTTGCAAAGCTCCCGGTTGAACAAGTCTGTATTTTGTGATATGAATGTAAGACGCACAATTGTTTCAAATACACACTGGTTACAAAGATGCTTGAATTAATTCAACCAGATTTAAAAGCCTAAATTTATGTTTGTTCCATAGTTATTACTGTGCTATTAAATCTCCATTTTTCACACCAGAATGGCACTTAGACCTTTAAAGATGTGGTACATAGGAAAACCAAATGGGAACATTTATGTAGTTACCTATAGAAAATGCTCCATATACAACAAGGAAGCTGATGTCAACACTAGCCAGGTGTCTGCTGATGACAACTAAGGACACACATATGTTTCCTGGCTGTTTACACGATTATTTCAAACACTCACCTTGGCATGCAGAAGAATGTCCAGAAAATTCAAGTGCTTCTTCTTCTGCATCTTTTCACGTTCTTGCTGATCTAGCAGGGACTTCTTTCTCTCTTTTATTACTGCATCTGTGTACAAGAATGGCAACAACATTATTAACCCCTTGACATCACCGTGCTGTGTTCTTCTGGGAACAGTCAAACAATCCGCTCTGCTTAACGCCGATGCTGAAATGCTATATGGTAGACTAAAGCAGCAGACAAGGCCTACTAGAACCAGGTGTTGAGTAGATTTTCTCCTTCTAAAGTACTGTCCCTACCTGTGACAGGTTGTACCAACCCCGCCCTGGGGCTGGAAGGGTTAACCTGGCTCATCCGGATGAGGAGGCCCCACCTCCACAGCTCTGCTGGGCATGCTCCCACTGTAGGCCAGCTATAAAGGCCCGTGGATCTGCTCGGTCCAGGCTGACTGCCGCTGGCGAAGGAGTTGCTGATGGAGCTCCCGAGAGGACCAAGCCACAGGGGCCAGTGGGAGGCTGTCACTGACACCCCCAGTCAGAGAGGAAAGACGGAGAGGACTACATGGACAAGAGACTGGTGGGAAGTAGCGTATGGTAGGGAAATGTACCCCAGGTGCTTGGTGCATTGCTGTGGTCCGTTCTACCGCTGACAAGGCCCTGGGCTGGGAGCAGGTGGTGAAGTTAGGTCTAGGGCCCCTCCCCCCTTCCACAAAGGTACCCGCACCCATTGTTACTGACTCTGGCCGCTAGGCCACACCGGCCTTAGCGGGAGGGGATTGTTACAGACTCTGGCTGCTAGGCGATGCTGTCAGGCCACACTGTCTTGACACATAATAGACGGGGTCAGAGGCTTGACCCGATAGTTCCAGATGGTCAGAGAGGGCCGCAGGCAAATCGGACATGCACGGGGTGAGATGCACCCCACAACGCCACCATTGAAGGCTCTCACAAAACATTACAAACACTGGAATTATTACCTCTATTTTGAAGGTGACAAAACTGAGCTGGGGAAAGACAAAGTAACTTGCCTAGAAGTCCCACAGGAAATCGGTAGCAGAGCTAGGAATAGAAAACAGATTCTAATCTACCTTTCATACAATTCCACTGAAATTCATGAAATTCCACCAGAGCTGGATTTCACCCTAGATTTACTGACTACCAACCTTGTGCCTGAATGTTAAAGCCATACTTCTTCCTTAGAGAATTAGGGGAAAAATGTCTTTAGGATTTGCATCCATAGATTATCTTTTGTAATGGTTCAGTTAACAATAGATGAAGGCCATCACCCTAGGCAACAACCTACAGTCAATAGGAGACACAGACGAGGACCCTGGGAAATACCTGTATGGAGGTGCGCTAGTCGGCAGGCCTCTCGAAAGCGACGTCCTTGAGGGCTGATTCGATAGATTAAATCACTACGAAATGGGAAAATGCGGATTCTATGGAACAGCAGGTAGGACAGCTCGTAGACAACTTTGATGTAGGCATCTGAGTCACTGAAGGAAAAGGATGGTTCAATGAGGTGATTATGGGTCTCTTTGTTAAGAACATTTTCATTAGGATTTGAAAGCAACTGGTACTGACCTGTCAGTCTGGCAGTTTCTATGGCAACTGACGGCACATTTCATTATGGTGTCTAGGATCATCAAGCTGACATGTTCAAAGAGCTCCACTGACTTATCCACTGTGATCAGCCATTCCCACTTGTCCTGGTGGAGGAGATAGAGATGAGGAGAGACAGGATTCCAGAAAAATTTGTGAGGACCACAGGGATCCCTTTCATTGACCTCATAGAATCATAGAATACTAGGACTGGAAGGGACCTCGAGAGGTCATCGAGTCCAGCCCCCTGCCCTCAAGGCAGGACCAAATACTGTCTAGATCATCTCTAGACCTTTAATCATTCTTGTTGCTCTTCTCTGGACCCTCTCCAATTTCTCCACATCTTTCTTGAAATGTGGTGCCCAGAACTGGACACAATATTCCAACTGAGGCCTAACCAGCGCAGAGTAGAGTGGAAGAACGACTTCTCGTGTCTTGCTCACAACAGTCCTGTTAATTCCTCCCAGAATCATGTTTGCTTTTGTTGCAACAACATCACACTGCTGACTCATATTCAGCTTGTGGTCCACTATAACCCCTAGATCCCTTTCTGCCGTACTCCCTCCCACACCATCGCTTCCCATTCTGTATGTGTGAAACTGATTGTTCCTTCCTAAGTGGAGCACTTTACATTTGTCTTTATTAAACTTCATCCCGTTTATCTCAGACCATTTCTCCAATTTGTCCGGATCATTTTGAATGATGACCCTATCCTCCAGAGCAGTCGCAACCCCTCCCGGCTTGGTATCATCTGCATGTTAAACTCATTGCTTTCGATAGCCACATTCTACCTAACCCATGTTGTTTGCTAGACCCTAGTCTCTAAGCAAAGACTCTGATGTAGAATTTACAGGGTTAGCTGGGAGTGGCATTCCCTCGCAGAATCAGGGATTGCAGGATGATTCATTTGTGGCTGGAGATGAGGCAGAAATGAAAAGCTAGATCTGAATTCATCTCTCCCAGTCTTTGGGGTCGGTAGGATGCAACTCTGCATCTGCACGTTGTTGTTCTGGGTCTGAACAAAACCCACAATCCCAACATCTCTAAAGCAAGTTTGGAGCCAGTGCAGGAGTGGCTCACCGCCATTTCAATTTACAAGTTGTTTTCATGGCGTCCTGAGATTATTTTCAGGAAAGTGAATAAAAACTGATCAGTGTGGTCGATTGTGGTTAATTTATTTTTGGCAGGAACTAGATCCAAATCTGATGTGGGAAAGAAGCATCCACATACAATAGTGCATTGTTGATCTTAAGTATCTTCAGTAATGCCTGTCACCACTGGTGTATATGATACACGGCAGATATAACCAGAAATCAAGGTAAATTAGGACTTGAGTTTCATAATTAGCATGACTCACCAGACAGCGTCTCCATATAAATTAATGTCATCTGAGCAAAATGTCATTGCCAGTTCCACATAGAGCCAAATCTTCCTGGCAAGACACAACCTGATTCCAATCTAGCTGGGTTAAAGGATATGTCTAAAACACCTTTTTCTTCAGCAAGTGAGTAACTGTCTTTAGCAAACGAAGTAATTTGCCAGCACTGAGAACCAACCAAGGTAAGTTTAGCAACAAGCCTCATTAAAAGGCAAGACATCATAGTTATTTTTCAGTGTTCAGAGCACAGTCGTACGGTTCACTGTACTGGAAACCAGGTGACACAAAACCATCTTGGGTCGGATTCTAAGCTGACGTACGTTGGTGTAGCTCCATTCAAGTACACCAGCTCTGAATCTGGCCCCTCTACTAAAAGAATTGCAGATCGATTGTATGACTCAAGCTGTACGGAACATCTCACTCTACCGTCTTCCAATTGTTCAGCATCAGACCCAGTGATTTCCCCAGCCCTGCAGCTGAAAGCACAGTCACGGGGATGAGTCCTACCAGCATCACTTTGGTAGATTCTGCCATCAGCACGACATAAGATTTCAACACGTCATAATGAAACGCTGGGGTCAGCAGCCTTCTATGCTGGAACCACTTTGGCCCATGTAAGATCAATAATCCCTTGCCTGCATGGATAGAAAAGCAGAGAGATGGATCACTTTACAGTTCTGTGAATAATTATTATCACTTTTATTTTGGAACAGGGAAAACTTTGGTTTTCCAATGACTGCTTGGTGGGTTTTGTGTGATGGTGGCCATTTTCCTTTTGGCTGCAAACCCAACATAGGGCTTTCTGCATTTCTTCCAGGTTTTGACTCCAAGCAGAAATGTCTTGCATGGGAGAGAATAATTTTGCAAGCAGCTCTAGCAATAACACCAGTATTCATGTTGGTGCCCTGTGCCACGGAGGGACACGTTGCTGTAGGCATCAGAGGAATAACACTAAGGCAAGCATGGTCCTGATACACAGTGTGGGGTTCTGCTCAGTATTATGAACTCAGCGTGCATGTGCCCGGTTAGGCCCACACACCGTTTACAGAGAAGATGTCAGGGTGACGGGGGGCGGTCACAGACAACCCGTTGGGGTGCCTCCTGGAGGGCTGACATAGCCACTGCCACTCACCTTTCCACTCTCTGGGGTTTCTCTCCGCCCGGTCCTGCTGGGCCAGCTCTCTGGTCTCCCCCAGGCAAGGCCCGAGCTGAATTCCCCCCCCCCCTCCCCCGAGAAGCAGTATAGACACTAAACCTCTTCAGGTCTGAGGAGAGTGCAGCTTAGGGACTAGCTTCCTAGGATACCACTCCCCAAATGGGATCAAACCCCACAGAAGTAGGTAAGCCCCCTTTAACAATGAAAGGGGAAATATGCACCCTGGTTGCCCCTCCAGGTAACAATTATTTACACTGGGTTTGGTAGAAAATGGAAGTGATTTTACTAAGTAGAAGCAGTAGGATTTACGTGGCCATAAGTGAGAACAGGCAGAGCAAAGTAGGTTACAAATCAAAAGAAACAAAAACATTTGGATCGTTCTACACTGAAACCTCAGTACAAACTTTGCAAAGTTACCCTAAAACCTCTTGTCCAGCTGCCCCTCCAAACCAGGGCTGTCCTCCCACCCCGGGGTCTTCGGCTCCTTCCTTCAGGTGCAGCCCAGCCAAAAGACTTCGACCCCTGCTTTCCTATTCTATTTTAAAGAATTCAGGCCACTCCCTACCAACCAGGGCTCAGACTTAAGGACAAAAGAGATTGTTTAACAGTCACTCATCAAGACATTGAGGTTAACAGCCTCATTGCCTCTCACTCACACATTTAAAACCCACAAAGTATTCTCCACCCCATATGTCTAATTTTAAACACAAAAACGATACACACATCAAAGTAAGATACACAGAACCAGCAGATCATGACATGAAGATGGATGGGTTACATGAAATAATTTGCTCAAGGCACCTGTGAGTTATGTATATTCATGTTTGTAAGTCCCTTTCATAAAGTCTGTCAGTCAATGCTGCAAACTCAGCCTAATTTCTGAGGCTGTGTCTAGACTGGCCCCTTCTCCGGAAGAGGCATGCTAATTTCTAACTTTGGAATAGGGAAATCCGCGGGGGATTTAAATATCCCCCGCGGGATTTAAATAAACATGTCCACCGCTTTTTTTCCGGCTTGGGGAAAAGCCGGAAAAGAGCGTCCAGACTGGCGCGATCCTCCGGAATAAAGCCCTTTTCCGGAGGATCTCTTATTCCTACCTGAAAGTAGGAAGAAGAGATCCTCCGGAATAGGGCTTTATTCCGGAGGATTGCGCCAGTCTGGATGCTCTTTTCCAGCTTTTCCCCAAGCCGGAAAAAAAGCGGTGGACATGTTTATTTAAATCCCGCGGGGGATATTTAAATCCCCCGCGGATTTCCCTATTCCAAAGTTAGAAATTAGCATGCCTCTTCCGGAGAAGGGGCCAGTCTAGACATAGCCTCAGAAATTAGGCATGGCTCCGGCGATGGAGCCATGTAGTCTAGACACAGCCTGAGAGTCAAGCTGGGTTCGTTCCTTCTCAGACATCCTCAGTGACGCTCAGGGGCGGCCCGTCCATATAGGTGAACTAGGCAGTTGCCTAGGGCACCAAGTTAAATGGGGCGCCAAATGGCGGTGCAATATCATTGAGGGGTTTGGAGGTGGGGGGGCCTATTTCACGGCTCGCCTAAGGCACCAGTTGCTGGCAGCTAGTCTAGGGCTGCCCCTGAAGGAAGGAGCTGAAGCCCATTAGACTGCAGAGAGGTTGCTATAGTGGCATCGAGGGCCTAGTCTGAAGACCGTGAACCTGAATATGTTTAATTGAGGGTACAATCTGGCCTGCACAATCTTTATTATGCATTGGTTATGGGTGAAAGTATTCACCAGCATCTGAAATATCAGATACTAGTTATTGTGCTGCAGGATTCTGGATTAAACAGAGAAATGGTCTGGTGTAATACAGACCATAGTCATCTCTGATAGCTTTCCATAACAGAAAGGTCATCTTCTCTGGTTTTAAAATAGCAAGGAAAAACGTAAATCAAATTACAAGAGAAGTCTGGGCCCACCATGAATTGATGAGACAAGGAAGCAAGGATGAGATATGAAACTCTCGGCTAACACTTCAGGGCATTACATGCCTTCAATTCATTCATAAAACTGTTCAAGAGGGTGAACAAAGCATAATTCTACATACCAATCCAGGGAATTAAAAATTTATAAGCTGTCATGTTCTTGGGATCTGTGAAATACAATAGAGAAGATAAATACAGTGTTAGGGGTTGACACACCACGGAATCAATAAGCCAGATGTATTTCTGGGATGAATTCACTCTTCTTGTCATGGAGAAGGAGCTAAATTAACTGAAGATGAGAGGGGTAGAAGTTAGACAGCTAAATCTAGTAGTGTCAGTCAGATGAGAGGGGTAGAAGTTAGACAGCTAAATGTAGTAGTGTGAGTCAGTATCTTCTTATCAATATTTCTGAAAGTTTGCTTTTGTTTGTTTCTTTGTCCTGAAAGATCTCCGAAATGGTAAGAGCTAGAAACACCAAATTTTGCACGATACTGCTGATTTCCTAACTTAAATAACTGGATTGGTTATGTCTTGAAATCAGTTCCCCCGGTTCCCCCAGAGCCCCAATTGGGCCCACTGATAATTAGCTTTTAGTAGCGCCTGATCATAGAAACACAACATTTTGCATGGATACTACTGATTTCCTAACTTAAATCACTGGATTGGTTATATCTCGAAATTGGTTCCCCCAGATCACCAATTGGGCCACTAATTAGCTTTTAGTAACGCCTGATCATAGGCCTTTGCTGGACTCCTCCTCCTATGTTAATGTCATTGATGTAGTTCATGCATCACACCTTTTACTATATTTTCCCTGGGCGACACCGGGTATTTCTGCTAGTATTAAATATTTAAAGAATGACTCTTCTCTTATTATTGGTACCTTTTCAAGTGGGTCTTTCACATTTATCTTACTAATGAGATGCACACGGGACTGGGGAGGATGAAGTGAAGATGCCATTAGAGATATGGGTGAGGAAAGGGAAGGCTGTGGAAGCTTTTAATGATGAGGAAAGACATTTTGTGCTAGAGGAACAAGGAAGTCAGTGGAGATGCTATTGCCCGATTAAGGCCTTTGGCCAGATCTTCAAAGGAATTAACGTGTGAGGGACAAGTTACCCCAGTGATGACATTGACATTAATGCTCTACCAGGACAGGTGAGCTCCTGTAGTCAGGCAAGTGGCGAATCAACACCAAGAGATTAGGCTCATCCACACTGGGACCATATTTAGGATGGGTAGCAAGAACCTCCTCCCTGAAAAAGTTTTTCTATCCTATGTGGAATCATATTGAAATACCCTGGAGATAATTTTCTCTTCAGGACTGGGACTGTCTGAATCCTTAGGCACTGCAGTAACAGTAATAATATTCATTAGAGCTTCCCATGCCAGAAAGTGAGAACAACGGAAAAGTGGACGTCAACTAGCAGCCTTTCTCTCCAGCTCATCCTAGGAACAACTTAGATCCCAGGAAGCCCTAAGCCAGACACATTTCCAAAGGTACAGGTGGTGGGTTCCCATTTCTCATTTTGGGTGACTATTGAAAGTGCCCCAACATAACTGTGAAGAGCTAGGCACATGGCAAGGGTGAAAGGAGGGACTTGCAATGGTCAACAGAAGACACATGGAAGAAGAAGAGTCTGAAAAGCTCTCTTGAGTGGGCATCAAATGGGAATCTTTCTGAAATAAGAATCAATGACCTTACCTCCATGGCCAAACACAGCTCTGGCATAATCCGGATGGTGGACTACTAAGTCAGCCTTGAAGTTTCCAGTCCATATGGGGAAGGCATAGGGGTACTTTTCTGCCCAAGATAATACGTTCTTTAATGCTTCAGCTCGAGAAAGCTACAACGATAGAGAAAACAGAGAGAGAGAGAGAGAGAGAGAGAGAGAGAGAAAGAGAGCGCTTAGGAAGCCAGGAGTGAAATTTCACCTCACTGTTGAGTGTCTACACAAAGTCAACTGGGCCATGAGTTCTCTCGGCAGGGGATGGACTTGCAATGAGGGGCTGTGCACCCCAAGAAGGAGGGAAGATTCTATCTCCCCCAAACTGGCTGAGGTAGAGGACCAAAATCTAACACACAGTAGCCATGCAGCTCTGGAGGGATCTGTGCTGCAGCCCCGTCTCCTTTGCAAATTCAAGTGATAAAGCTGAACTCATCCCTGGCATTAGGGAAACGACGGGGCCATCTGGGCCATGTATTATTTTTAGAGACATTTCCAAATGTACATCGTTTCCAAATTTTGCTTTGCAATTTTTACATGAAGAATTGAACCCAAGACCTAAAAACAGTGGGGGTGTTTAAAAACAGATTTGGGCTAAAATTCTAATTTTCTTTTCATTTCTACACACCAGTTTCCAGCTTTACATGAAAAAAGGAAAACTGTCAGAAATGAAATTTTCCTCTGCAAAATGTTTCCTTTAGTCTAAAAGCCATTTTGGGTGCCAAAATTGCATGTTGATGAAATAATAGTGACGGTTTCTAAAAAAGGACATTGCATAAGGCAAAGCAATGCAGAATCCAGGGCAATATTTTAAACCAATGATACTCAGACCTAATTGGTCCAGAAGCCAAATAAGTGATTGACATTACCCGAAAGTGTCTCAGTCAGGTGAATGCCTTGTTTCATTTACTACAGTATTACATAATCATACGTAAACAGTGTGACAGGGAAATATTTAGTGTAAAGAGCTTTTAAACCCGTGACTCTCAGGTTCAGAGTAAAATAAGCAATTAACATTCCCCAAAAGAGCCACAATTATGTGAATTCCTTGTTTCAGTTACTACTGTACTATATTCATACTTAAACAGTGTGGCTGTATCCAGACTCAGGGTTTTTTTTTGAAAAAAGTAGCCTTTTTTTGAAAAAACTTCACCTGCGTCTAGACTGAAGCTGCGTTCTTTCGAAATTAAATCGAAAGAACGCGGCTTTTCTTTCGACGGCGGTAAACCTCATTTCACGAGGAAGAACGCCTTTTTTTGAAAGTGCTCTTTTGAAAAAAGGCGTTCTTGAATGCCAACAGGGCTTTTTAGAAAGAGAGCATCCAGACTCACTCGCTGCTTTCTTTCGAAAAAGCGGCTTACTTTTTTGAAAGTACTGCTTGCAGTCTAGACGCTCTTTTTCGAAAGAGGCTTGTAGTCTAGACATAGCCTGTGACGGGAATATGCAGTGTAGCGAGATAAAGGTATCACATTTTCACGGCCAAATGATGGACCAAGTAATATTTGATCAGCTACAATTGGTGAAACACACTATAAAAACATCCTGACTAGTTAATAGCTTAGGGTATGTCTACATTTGCCCCCTAGTTTGAACTAGGGAGGCAAATGAAGCATATCAAAGTTGCTAATGAAGTGCGGGATTTAAATATCCCATGCTTCATTAGCAACTTCGGTATGCTTCATTTGCCTACCTAGTTTGAACTAGGGGGCAAGTGTAGACTTACCCTTAGAGTGGTTAATAATTAAATCACACAGGCTGTGTCTAGACTGGCAAGTTTTTCTGGAAAATCAGCCGCTTTTCCGGAAAAACTTGCCAGCTGTCTACACTGGCTGCTTGAATTTCCGCAAGAACACTGACGATCTCATGTAAGATTGTCAGTGTTCTTGCAGAAATACTGTGCTGCTCCCGTTCAGGCAAAAGTCCTTTGGGACAGTGTAGACAGCTCAGATTTGTTTTGCGAAAATGGCGATCGGGCCTTTTTTGTGCAAAAGCGCGTCTAGAATGGCATGGATGCTTTTCCACAAAAAGTGCTTTTGCGGAAAAGCATCTGTGCCAATCTAGACGCTCTTTTCCAAAAATGCTTTTAACGGAAAACTTTTCCGTTAAAAGTATTTGCGGAAAATCATGTCAGTCTAGATGTAGCCATAGTGTTTTACTGTCATATGTTGCAAAGACCTGCAGGAGACACATTAAAGAGGCAATTTTAGCTCACAAGCCACACACTGAATATCACAGGTTCAAACATTGATTGGATGACAACTTGCATTGGGATGGTGGGAACTTTGCAGTTGGGGGCAAAACTACAGAAATCCCCCAATGTTTGCACCATGAAGCAATGAAAATGTTTCAAATAAACATTCCCTCTGTACACAGACACAGCAGAGTTGGGTAACTGTGCAAACTAACTCAAACCTACTTCCCATAGAGAGGATGCCCAAGAAACGTGTCATGTGACTTCTATTCAGTTGGATCACCAAAGTCCCAATCCAGGAAAGCAAGTTTAACGACAAGCAGGTGACGACAAGCAGGTGAGTAGCTCGTGTCGAGTCAGTGGGATTCTCTGTTTGCTTAAAGGGCTGGAGCTGGAAATTGGACCCAGTTCTTACTGCGGCTGTGTTTTTCTTTTCCCCACACAAACATGCCACTGACATACAGCTGTGGTCTCCATTAAAGGGGAGGACAGGACAGGCATCGGTAGGGTGCCCACATGTCCCCATTGTACAGGCACAGTCCTGATATTTAGGCCTTTCTCTTATAGAGGTGCCCAAGCCTGTCGATGGGAGGGGGGCAAAAGGGGCAGCTGCCCCGGGGCAGAGGGATTAAAAAGGGCCTGGGACTCTTGGCTGCAGAGACAGCGGCTGAAGGCCCATGTTAAATAGCTGCTGTAGCCCCGGCCGCATGGGAGCAGTGCTGGGAGGTTGGTTGTGGGAGGACAGCACCGAGACCTGCCACTTCTGCCCAGGCTCTGCCCCTCCCAGGGGCCCAGAGCCGGCTCTCACACCGTGGCCATGGTCTGGCAATACCGTCAGCAGCCCTGTAGGTGCCTCTATGGCATGACCCCAGCCCGAGCTTTCACTCTTCCTGTGTGGTTACCCGAGTGGCCAGGACCTTTTCCTAACTGCTTCACCCACCCCACGCACTGTATTTACTTCCCCCTGCCTGTGCCCTGTTGAAACTAATCAGGATGGTGCACATATAACCCCACCCATACAGCCAGTGGTTGGGGGGACCCGGGAAGCTCTCCAAAGCTTTGAGGAGCTGCTGTCTTTGGCGATAAAGCTGGGTCGCTTTCAGCAGCACGCAGATGAGGCAAAGCCCCAGAGCCAGGTACAAAAGCAGAGAGGAAGGGTTTGCTATTTTCTCCAGCACAGAAGCCATGGCCCTGCCTTCTCTGGGGCTGTGACAGGCTCTGAAACTCGCCCTGCGTTCACTTGCCTTTTATGTTGTCCGGGGAGCATTCCTAAAAGCAACTTATTAATCCAGGACAGGATGACCTCTTGGAGATTTTTGGAATGTCAACATCAAAAGTTAACAGTAACTGGTCACAGACTGACACTGCGAAATCCATAGACTTTAACAGGAAAAGAGGATTATAAAAGCAGGGTGCCTTGCTATGGGACTTTGGGTTCATCTTGCCGCCATCTCCCAGAAAGCCCGGCTCCCGTTCTGTGATCATTCTGGCTGGTCATTAGATTGATCCATTCTCTGGTCTGGTAACTAGAACATCTTCTGGCGGGGCTGTGTGTATGGTATTTGTGTGTGTGTGTGACTGAAAAGCATACGCTACTGTTGTAGTCTCAATAAATGCGGCATACTGCCTTTTCCCCTATAAAAGATCTCGCGTGCTTTGTTTGAGCACAACACTGTGTCACCTGCTGGGAACGTACAGCAGGGAGAGAGCTGGGAAGATCTCAGCAGCGATTGGCCAGGGTTGGCTTGGCACAAGACCCCACTTCCATGGGAGCTCATTGGCCTCTCTTCCTAGTTCAGGTGTCTTGCAGCATCCCAAGGAAACCTCCCCTAAAGGGGGACTAAGAAGAATATTCCCCTGTGGGCAGATTATCCGGACACTGCGGGATTGTGATGGTCTTTCTAGAAGCCCGCCCGTACATGGCTGTCGTGAATAGTCCAGCCTGGAGATGTTGCTGTGGGACAGCGATGTCGTTGATGAGATGCTGTAGTTTGGAGCTTGGATGCACCCAGGATGTTTTCTTTTGGTCCGGTAGCTGGGAAAAGCAATTCACGGTGGCTAATTGGCACTTGGTGCTCTCACAAAGTACCTGCATAACACTGCAGTTCTCTTTCCCCATCTCACGCTGACCAATGGCAGTCCATCACATTGCCATGTTGTTACCAAAGCCTGCCAACTGGGGGAGGCAAAGGAGCGAATTTCCTAGGGATCCAGCAATTCAAAAGGAGCAGCAGCTGGAGCCCCGGCCCTTTAAATCACCACTGGAGCACTGCACGGCGCACTCCGAGAGCTGCCTGGAGAGAGGCAATGTGATTCCCTCCAGGCAGTGCGGCCCCGCCCCTTTGGCCTGATGCTCCGCCCCTTTGCCGAGAGGCCCAGCAAGGCTATCCACACCCCTGTGATTGCCAACCCTTGTGTGAAATCCCCACCATGATAATCAGCGCGTCTGACACAGATGTGGACACAGTGAGTTTGCTTAAGTTGCCACAGAACTTTTCCTTCTCATCATCTGTATTTCTCATGGTAGGTGCATACGTGCTAGTGATGGTAACAGACGGTGTATGTTTTAATGGCCATCACAGCACCATGGGAAAATCATTTATGCTGTTAGGTAGACCTTTAATTCAACCAGAGCATCACAAGCCATCGCCTACACCAACAGTTCCTTAACAGTGGGCCAGGACCCCAAAGTGGATCACAGCCACATATGAGAGGGGTCGCCAGGGCTGGCTTAAACATCCCGAAACCCAAGCTGCACCACTTAGGGTTGAAGCTAAAATCTGAGGGCTTCAGCCCTGGGCATCAGGATTCATGTTACAGACGCCCGTCAGGGGCTAATGACCTTGGGATTCAGTTTTGATTCTCCTGTCAAGGGGCTGGGGTTCAGGCTTTGGCCCCCCACACCCAGAGGAGAGGGATTTAGGTGAGTTCTGTCTTTAGTGCCCCCTCCTGGGATCGTGTCAAAAGTTTTGTTTTCGGAGGCGGGTCACGGTGCAATGAACTTGGAGCGTCCCTGCCTTAATCTAATGTCTTCAAAGGACTTAAAGGGCCTGAAACCTGGGTCCCATCTTCACTGGCGCTCTGGCCCTTCCCACTCGTGGGGTGTTCATACCCTGACTCTTAGCTCAGCATTAGCATGGTTTGTGTATCGCTGGAAGGAAGGTTGGGCTTGAACCTGAGTACAGTTCAACCCTCGGCATGCAGCGGTGTAGACATAAAACGAACACAAAAATAATTAACTCTCGCACCCATGGGGAGTCTTTATCATAAAATCTGGGAGTTTGGGGGGGTTTGGAACAAGGGTTTGGGTTTTCACCTGCTATAAAATTAAGGTCCATTTTTGCATTCTGGACCTTGATCAAGATACACATCTGAGGTTTGTCTGTTTTACTGATGGGTAAACTGAGGCACTGACACACTTGATTCATCTGTATTAAGGCCAGGAGGGTATCTGATTATTTGTTTAGATTTCCTGATTCTGGAGGAGGGAATCGTTTTCCCCAGCTATGCACATAGACACTATTGAGCCTGATTGATTTGTGGCTGAACAGAGATGACCTTGGTAAGATTATTTATGCGTGTCAGCAGTGTCCCTCTGCAATGTATATTGGACAGACTGCTCAGTCACTTTGCCAAAGAATCAATGCCCACAAATCAGACATCCAGCCTCTTCACAAAGAAAAACCTCTTAGTCTACATTTTAATCTACCTGGGCATTCCCTTAAAGACCTGACAACGTGCCTCTTACTTCAAGGAAACTTTAACACCAGATTACAGGGAGAAACTTCAGAACTTTCATTTATGCTTAAATTCGACACCATACGAATGGGCCTTAATAAAGATGCTAATTATCGTACACGTTACAAAGACAGCTTCCCCACCTATTGATAGTCCTAGTAACTCAGATTACCCACTGATTGACTTACAATAAAATATTCCCTCCTTCCCTCTCCCTCGCCTCACCGTCTGTTCTAAACTCTGATTTGTTAGTTTATAATGTGTTCACTTCCTTCATTGTATTCCTTTGTTATATATGGTCATGCCAATTCTCTTTCAGAATATGATCTGAGGAAGTGGGTCTGGCCCACGAAACCTCATCACCTAATAAACTATCTTGTTAGTGTTTAAAGTGCTACATATTTTTGCCTTTTATTGCAAAATCAGTCTTGGACGTTGCCCTCTAGAACCCCCTGCTCTGTTGACTTACTGAAGCAAATCAGTCACATTCCACAATGAGTATATTTTACCAGACAGGACACTTCTTTCACTGCTTGCATTAATTTTACAAACATGCAGACCGAAACTGGGTGTAGGTTACTATGCAATATTTAGGGGCTCTTGGTGCCCTGTTCTTGTGTCAGTATTAATGGTGAGGTTTTTAGCATCAGTATTTCTACAGCCTCATAAATAAAAAGGGCCAAAAACCCAGCAGAAGATCTGACTCAAAAGCTCTATTTACAGCTCTTTTCCCCAACAAGGACTACAAATGTGCTTCTAACTGGAATATTTCATATTTGTAAAAGCATCCAGAAAAATCCACACTAAACCCAGAGCCTTGCAGTGACCAGGAATACTGATCTGTCAAGGTATGTCTACACTTCAGCATTAATTCGAGATAACTTAATTCGAAATAGTTAATTCAAATTAAGCTAATTTGAATTAACGCATCTACGCAGAAAATGCATTTCGAAATAGCATTTTGCTCTTTCGAAATAGCACGTCCACACTGAGTGGACTCTAATTCGGAGTTAAGGCTGGCCGGAACCAGTGCCGACAGGGCACCAGGTCAGGACTTAATGTGTGGGGCTGCTGCCTGAGGCTATCAGGTGTCCCTGCTTGCTTGTCTACCTCCATGAGGGACAGCAAAGCATTTGTGTCTCGGAGTGCTCTGGTTGCCCTCACTCGGGACACCCTACCACTCTGCAACATGGAGACAGAACTTCCCCTGGGCACTCTGGTGCATCTTGTGGACGCGTTGCCATCAGCCTGGCTGCACTTTCTGAAGGTTGCCATCCAGGAGGTCCATCGGGGGGCTCTCAGTATCCAGGGGGCCCTGCAGGAGAGCTTCCACCCCGAAGAGCGCTAACAGTCTCCGTGGCTTGCCCCACTGGGGGCTTGTGCCTCATTCCTCCCTCATGTCCTTCCACTTACCCCTCCCTAGCCCCCCTTCCTGATGTCAAAAAAATACACGTATTTTCAAAAATAGAAACTGTCTTTATTTAACACAATGGGAGGAGGGTGGGATGAATCTCTGGGGAGACTGGTGAAAGGAGGGGGGAGAGGTCATGAGAGAGGGTGGGAGAGGGGAGGGGGAAAACTGGGAGGAGGGAGCTGGGAGGGGGAAGCAAGGGGAAGAAGGGGGAGGGGAAGCTCAGGGCTCAGGGGTGGGGGTCTCATTGGGCCACATGTCTCCCAGCACGGCGGGGGGGGGGAGGAGGGTGGGATGAATCTCTGGGGAGACTGGTGAAAGGAGGGGGGAGAGGTCATGAGAGAGGGTGGGAGAGGGGAGGGGGAAAACTGGGAGGAGGGAGCTGGGAGGGGGAAGCAAGGGGAAGAAGGGGGAGGGGAAGCTCAGGGCTCAGGGGTGGGGGTCTCATTGGGCCACATGTCTCCCAGCACGGCGGGGGGGGGGGGGGCGGGGGCCCCCGGGGGATG